AAACTTACTGAAAATCTTCGTTTCCAATTGATATTTGTTACATAAAGGCATTTATTGATATCTTCATTGGATAAAAATGATGTAAATGAACTTGCTAATCTATGAGAATTTTCATTGTCCGACGTAATTGAAGATGATGATCCATCATCTTGTGCTTGATCATCATCAGTATTGTCTGACAATAGAAGTTGATCTTCCATAATCTCTACTCTATCTGTCTTTTTTTCGGTATATTTATATATATGAAGCTATTCTTAAGAGGAAACAAGTACCCAGATGTGCAATACTGATGATGATGATGATGAAGATGATGATGAAGATGATGATCTTTCTTCTAATATAGAAAAAAGAAAGACAATAAAAAGCAAAGCATTGTTGGCAAGTGTCGGCGGGTGAGTGTCTAGATAATCATCATCAAACAAATGTCAATACTATTTCGCTTTTTATCATGTCCAAATCATTAGGTTTTTTTTCTTTTTCATTTCTTTGATTGAGTCAACTACGACTTTGTTTACATACATTACCATTAATAAAAACACAAGTAAGTCCATTAGCAGTAGGATTATATAGAAATTTTGTCAAAACATAAGCACAATAATTGATATCAAGTACTATTACCTATTTTATGCTGAATATTGAACAATAACAACGTCAAGGCTTAAGATTTTCTTTATCAAAAAAAAGAGCAAAACTAGATGCGTTCATTGATGGATTAAACACATTAAACTTGTACTAATTTTAAATAAAATTTCTTTTATTGACTTAATAGAAAATTCATTTAGAGTCGAATCAGAGTGTTTAAGAGTCCTCATCTTCAAAGATATAACTGCAAAAGACTATACAGAATATTACTAAAACTTTGCATAGATGTTCGACTCATGAAAGTACACTAATAAAAAGAAAATTTTCATGTTTCTATACCTTATCGTTCAGAAGATTTCTAGGAATCAAAATGCAAAACAGAGCTTTTATGCTAGAAGGAAAATTTTTTATCGATATATTTCAAGCTACAGAGCTCAGTTTGCTTTCTATGGAAAGAAAAGTTCTTGTCACTTCGGACGAAGAAAAGGCTTTTTTTAATTTTTATTCTATATCATTTTTGTGGATCATCGAAACTTCAACAATCTGGAAATCTTTGGCGTGATTGTCTAGAAAACTCATGGTTTTTCTAGCATTGACGATTAATTAGAAAATTCGATTTCCTCATCTGAAGTACTATGCATATATCTAACAATAAAATTTGCCCACGGTTCGATCATTACCGAGAAAAAAAAATCAATTTTGAGAAGAACTTTTTTTTGCATTTTTCTTGGATATTATCTTCCTATTATGAGTTTAAATAGAGTTGAAGTATAAATATATTACACGTCAATATGATGCTACCTATCATTGTCTTTATATTTGTTACATCATTCAACAACGTAATAAAAACAGAAAAAAGCAAAACTAATTTTTTTAATTCACTTGATTTTACATAAAACGTCTACTTTCAAGGTGTGGCTGAGGAAAAGATGTGCACCCACACCTTCAAGTCATTGAAGATTTCAAAAATGTGTGGTTCTAGAATGCGTCAGATTTGATTACCTATGAAGACTTTTTTTGTTTATTTTGCAAGTCTAATTCAAAAAAAAAATTTACTAATTGCTCTAGACCTTAGTATTTGTCGAGATAGTGCATAAATCATCCATAAAACTCCTGGAAACCTTCGAGAATCAAAACTATTTTTATGAATTCGTACACTAGGTAACTCAAACAACATATTCATATATTTATTTAAAAAAATTATTTGTTTTTACTGAAAACCTCGGTTCTAAGGGGTGGTCTTAAGTATTAAAGAGTTTCTGTATAACAGAGACTGTGTTATATCAGATGTTCGTCAAATAAGAACATCTTTTCAGTTGTATTTAAGACTTATTAAAAGAAATTGGAAAATTATTTTTGTGTCACTGTAGAGGATTCAACTTTTTCATATTAAAGTGGAATAATCATTATTTTTCTTATTTCAGAATATTTATATTGTTGAGTTCTATTATTCCAAAGACACGTTAGATTGATTATGTTACTTTCTATTCAATAGCCAAAAATGATTAGCTTTCACACGCAGCAATTTTATCAACTTGTCTTGTATTTACAATAACGATAATGATGTGGACGTTGGTGGATATAAGAGAAGAGAACATGTTTACCAACTCATTGCACACCCATACTCACCCTGAGGACGATTAATAAATCGAATTTTTTTAAAGAAATATAACGATAAATTGTACATCAATGTTTATATAGTTGCTCTTCAGTTTAATCTATCTTTTGCGACATTGAACACAAATTCTTTCTTTTCTTTTGAAATATTTAATATAGTATTATTATAGATTATTTGATCTAATTTACAACATTCGCAACTATCGTGGATTAGTTTCTTGTATTTAAAAAGAAAAAGTAATCGTAACTTAATTTTGAGAAAAAAGCCGGTTGTTATCAACCAATACATTAATTCACAATGCAAGCCATTTTATTTCTTATACGTAGAATTCATTTGAATGTTTTATTGTTTCTTCATGTTACCACCATTGGAGAAGAAAGAAAGATCGAACAAGTTTTTTCTATTCCCTATGACGTACGCCAATCATCAAAAAGGTAAGAATGATATGCAGAAAAATAAAAGTTATTCGCAGTAAGGGAATGAACGAATAACTAAAATTTTCTATATTCCTAATGAGTAGATTTTAACGTTAATTGAATCTCTGTAACAGTAATACATCAAAAGCGGAAATTTTAACATAGAGTGGATCTAGATGTTTAGTGTAATGTGCTGTGAATATCAACCTATATATAACAGTTTTGAAATATGTGAGAAAAGAATATTGTTTGAAGATATCAAAACTTATTTTACATTTTTTATAGCAGAAAAAAAGAAGGAATAAAGTCAATCTTGTTTGCAACCATCTTTAGGATTTTAGGCTTTGAAATGTGAAATGAAGAGATTAGAAAGATTTCAATTTTCACGAATCATTCAAAGATGATTTTGTGACTTAATCAGTTGTTTCCGTAGTTTGAACATCATCCTCGCTAATTATTTGTTCACTATCATTAGAGATAAAATATTTCTTAATATCGAAAAACTAATGTGATATGTAAAATCAATCGTATTGATTTCATTAGACTGAAGACATCTAGTTTTTTCATAGAGTAATTCTTGGAATGAATGGTTCTTACAGGCATTGAAGAGAAAATTTTTGTCCTACCCTTCGACTACTGATTTTATATATCGACAAAGTATTTTACCGTGTATTTAGAAAATGCATAGTACTCTAGACTAGACCTCGATGTGACCACCGTCACTGCCGTGATTCACGGTCCTGGCCAGCCATGATAAACTTTTAATGTAGCTGTATAACGGCTAATTTTTAATTTAAACAGAGAATTAAATATTTTATGTTTATCATTCTTTCAATATGTGTTAACATCTTTTCTTAATTGTGTTAATTCAAAAACAAAGAAATATAACCAATACAAAATACATTCACGATAGCAGTAAAATACACAAATTATAAATATATTTTAAAGAGTTCATATAGAAATATTTTAGAAGAAAAGCACTACTAAAAGATATTTTCTTTTTGTGAAATAAGAATAATGTCATTTTCATCTATGATGTAGGAATAGCAAAAATATCACATACGATGGTAGAAATAATAGGAAAAGATTTGATATTACGTGACTAAAATTCTAGAACATCATCATTTTCTTCATCAGCTAATGTTAATGTCGAGGATATTCATAAAGCAAATTCATCAACAGTGGATTGTGATGATCGAGGATTATCGAAACATGAAGACAAAAGGTTTTGTTTTCTTTTTTCTGGTGTTGTCTTTTGTTTTGATGGGGATGTTAAGAGGAACATTATAGCTGGTGTACAAGATGATGAATTGGATGAAGTTGAAGATGATTGATTTGTTTTTGTACGTTTTTCAATTTCATTTTGAAGTAATTGCATTGTTCTAGTTCTATTGGATGAATTTTTATCGAAATGTTTGAGTTGTGGATGAAGAATGGTGACTAGTAAATGTTCATCTTGAGGTATCCACGTAGTCACAGACTATTCGAATATTATCTAATTATTAATCAACTTAATGTTTTTTCTTAAACCATTAATAACTGATGCTATTTGAAGTAATAGCGTTACCTTCTTAGAAAAAGACTAATTTAACGCACTATGTACAACAATCAAGACATGAGCTCTATTTGTCTAAAAGATACAGATGAAACTTTATAATTGACTTTCATCTAAATTATTCATGTTGATATAGTAAATTTATGAATTTTGCATTTTATGGCAAATATTCTTTCAATAATGTGAAGTACTATTTTCTTGGTAATTTTCAGATAGGATGCTCTCACATTTCTGAGTAGGCAAACTTGAAATCAAACATTCTCAAATAACCTGTTGTTCAATCTGTCTGAAAAGAACATTTGCCTAACATAGATACAAAGAGATCGCTGTTCTTTGATTTATTGAGAATTCAATATTAGGGAAACACACATAAAATCTATCCTTACTACGCACATTTATTTTATAAATAATGAAAGTGAGCAACAATTCATATTATTCATGCAGAAATTTCTATATCAGCATCGATAACTTTTATTTCTGCTCGTATATTTCCAGTTTTATAAAAAACAAATGCTGTATCGATCGCTAAAATCAATGTAACTGTAGCGAGATAGGTACTTATTAATCTACCAGTTAGAAACATCCAACCAAAGAATTGCTCTACAAATGCGGACGAAAAGAATGCGATTGATATACTGAGCATAACTATGGCTTCATACATTGAATGTGTTTTTGGTTTCTCCTCAGGTCGATGGGACTGTGTCAATAGTGTCGACGCTCCCACATAGCCCAAATTCCATCCAACACCAATAATAATCAGACCTAAATTAAAATGGGAAACTTCAAAGCCTCGTTGAAACAGCAGAGTTCCTGTTAATTGAATAATCACTCCAGTGAGCATAATCAATCGACTTCCAAACCAACTACATAGATTTCCACTGATAAATGATGGTACAAACATGCCCAAAAGATGATACTCAACAGCTGTTGTCACTTGAACAAAATCGTATCCGGCAGCAGTCATTGCCAATGGAGTCGCTGACATTTGAATGGCCATTGCTGACCACGATACAAATCCACCAAGAGCGGCAACGAGAAATGTTCGTTGAGTCGCTATGACATATATTGAACGACCGTTCTTATTAATTCCACTTGCAGTCCGTGTTGAAGAAGTTGATACTGGTCGGTAGTCAGCATTCTTTATCTCAGTAAATTGAATCATTGTCATAGTAAATAAGAGTAACGTACACTCACATAATGTTGTTAAATAAGCACCACTAAAAGGTTTTGATAATGCATTGACCGTATGTTTGGCGATCTCTGGTCTAGAAAGGTCAAAAATAAGAGTTATTTTTTAGTTATTTTTTAGTAAGAGCAACTAAGGAAAAAACTATAGTAAATAGTACAATGGTCCTCATTTATATATAGATGCTTATAAGATGTTTGAAACGTTCAGAGAAAATACAGATGTAGAAGATGTTTTGAATAGATTTTGGTCGGGAAACTTTTGATTTTGCCATGTTTTTACAGATAGTCTTTTTCTCATAATGCTTACCCATCACCCAATGAAAGAAGTTCAACAAATGTTTCTTCACTTCTAATCAGAACTCAAGCAAGGTATTAGTACGGAGTAAACTTCTATTGTAATTTCATATTAGAAACTACAAGAACATACTTAGAATACAAAAATCATCGATATCAAGTAATACTTTGTCCGAGTTGAAGTAGATTGATAATGCGTTGCTTTCTTTTTCCTACTGTATGGACTACTGGAATCTAGAATGGTGATAAAAGGGCAAGACTTCGGTCTAGAATCGATATCCTTATCTTTTTGTTTCTTGTCTCTCACAATACAGCGAAGACTTTGATCAATTGTTGTTGTACTATTGATAAACTTACCCGATAACAGCAGAAAGACAACCACCAGCAACAACCATTGCAATTGCTTTCGAGGCAAATTGTGGTGTCGAAAACTGCAATGCTACGAGACGATAGTATAAGGTACATGGTACCTGTCCACCTAAAAATCCAGCTCCAATTACCAACAGCCAGTAGAGTCTATACCACGTGGCCACAATGCAAATTCCTGCTCCAGTCATTCCCATCAAGGCACCTAAATAAAGTGGTGGCCGATACCCAATTCGTGCCACAACACGCGGCAAAAATACCGACCATATAGTGCCTACCAAAAGCATAAAACCAATTGGAATCGTCGCCAAGTACCAATTTGCAAAGTTCGTGGCGGCCAGCGTAGTTGTACTTATTTGAATGAAAAATACACCTTCACCGAGACTCCATGACCATGATAGTAGAAAGATATTCCACAGCATTTTGCGAAACTGCGCATCAGCCCAACGAGTACGAAGACCCGATATTGACCAAAATGGTGGTGGTTGGTCTTCAGACTGATTTTTTTGTTTTGCAATATCCAATGATTCACCATTTGTTGTAGTTCGATGCTCTTCAAGTGCAGGATTCAAATCAGCCATAATCAAATCTATTCAATAAAATGATATCGTTAATCGTATTTTTCTAATGTACGATTGCTAATGAATATTGAAGTACATACCCAAACAAGAAAGTCTCTCCAAAGTACTCTCTACATACATACACACCGAAATAGATATTTCAACATACTCCTCCTACAATCCTAAGACTGACAATGATAAAATTGACGAGAAATCCTGTTTATGATGATACAGGATTCATTGTGTTCCATATTTTAGTCTCGAGACGATTGCAGAAAGAGCTTTATCTCAGAGAAATATGTCATCGAAAATATGTTTTTCAATTTTATCACTCCATTTCTTCCTTGTATGATACATGAGAAGACTTGCATCTATAGACTTACGAGTCCACATTTTCGTGAATCTAGACTCAGATCCGACAAAAAGTAAATCTTTAGACCCGAATCCGATCCAGACTCGACCACATTCGGGTTCGATCTCAAAGAATCTACAGATGTCTACTTGTATCTTCTTACACTTTCAAGATATTCTGTATTAGTGGACTTAACAGGCATCGATCCATTTTCAGTTGCATTATTTTTTGTAATTCTATACTTCCCTTTGAACCCGCCTTTTCTGAAAATGTCATGCTTTAATCTATTTTTAGTTGTATGTGAATCGTTGAAGACCCCTTTAAAACTACTGCACGGAACAACTTAGTTTTCAACCGATTTCCATTGCAACTAGTTGTCACCTTAGGATGTGTAAGATTTCCAAGAAGCGTTCTCACTATGTCGATCTAACTAACTTTTATTGTTGCAATTCATCTCCTAACTATTGTATGTTCTCAACCAAGTTCTTCTTTAAAAAATAAGTTCGATTGTCTAAGATCAAGCCCGAATTTCGTCTTGAGAATATCTGAAACGAACTTATTATTTTGAGTAATTTATTAGTTTTGTACGAAAACTCGGGTGTGGATGTGGAGTTTTGGTGTGTGTTTGAACAATGCAAAAATGCTTACCCACACACTCACATCCTGGTACTTGTATGCGAATAATAAACTACTCAAAATAATGAGTTCTTTCCAGATATTCTCAAGACGAAATTCGGACTTGATCTTAGACAGTCGAACGATCAATCGGCTGGTTCCATCTTCAATTAGATGTCATGACACATGCTTCAAAACGATGAAAAAATCATTATAATATTTTTTGTTGTTTGAGAGTAATAAAGAATTCAAAATAGGGAGCCACTTTTCAGACGCCCTGTAGATACTATTCAACGCTCTAGTAAAATCTCTTTAAAAAATTTTGGTTTCTATCACTTTCGTCGAAAGTTATGAATGTTTTAATTTTGGCTCTGTAGTGTATAACATTCAGTGTGAGTCATAAAAAGTACTACGATAAAATATGAAATATTTCTGCATCATTTCAATCAAGTGTGCTGAGATTTTTTGGTCAATGGTAGAAGCTTAATCAAAGGTTTTTTTTCATACGGATAAGGTAAGCAAATATTACCATTAAGTATTAATGTTCGTATCAAGAAAGCAATTTTACCTGCTATCAAGTAAAAAAAGAACACATATTTAGTGTTTCATAGATGATTTTGACTTTTTATCTACGAGAATAAGAAGAACAAGTTAAAACGAACTTTATGAATTATTCTGTATTGATGTACATAAAGCAAATTGACAAAACGAGTTAGTTTAAAAGTCAACAATTACAAATTGTCGAATATTCAAACATAGAATACAGGTTTTTACAAGAGAGTTGGTGTTTTGATACTCAAAGGGCTGCAATTGTATATATTACTTATGGGACACAAACTTCAGCATTAAAACTGACCAGATTTGAAAACTTACTTTTTGTACGTCAATAAGAAATCATTCATGAAGTTCGTTTCAACTTGTGCTTTTTATTCTCTTAGATAAAAAATCAAAATCATCTATAAAACACTAAGGATGTGTTCTTTTTTTACTTGATAACAGGTAAAATTGCTTTCTTGATACGAACAATAATACTTAATGGTAATGTTTGCTTACCTTATTCGTATGAAAAAAAACCTTTGATTAAGCTTCTACCATTGACCAAAAAATCTCAGCACACTTGATTGAAATGATGCAGAAATATTTCATTTTTTATCGTAATACATTTTATGAACCACACCGAATGTTATGCACTACGGATCCAAAATTAAAATGTTCATAAGTTTCGAAGGAAGTGATAGGAATTCAAATTCTTTAAGAGTTTTTACTAGAGCATTAAACAGTATCTATAGGAAAAAAGAATCATTGAAATCAGAGGGGAGGGCGGCACCTCAAAAGTTTTCCTCATAAGACTTCACATCGCGTATTGAACGAGAAGAGGCTCATGGAACTTGATGAATTGTTTTTGTTCGAATTTTTTGTTATTCTTTGTTGATCTATTTCTCATCGAAACAATCAGTATTCTTAACTTTTAATTCATTGGTATTCGTGTCTGTAATGTCAATTAAGTAAATTACGGCTAGTACTCACATATATGCCTGTATATGCTTCTCTTTGTCACACTTGAAATTTATTGTGTATATGCTCGTTAAGTAAGACACAAAATATTGTTCTGTTCTGTTACTGTCATTTTATCCAGTGTACATGCACAAAAAAAGACTGAACACACGGAATAATATGAGCCTTCGACACGTGCGCATTATGCATCCATTGCCCAGCAAGCGGACGAACTAGAAAATGATAGTAGGATAGACCTTGAAAAGTGGGTTCAGTTGAATAGAGAGTGTTAAAATTATCAAGTTCCCAAACGTATGATTCTCATTTCCTAGCTACGTGAATTCGTATAGCTAGTCTCATGAGTCTAGGTAAAGAGAAGATCCACATCCACATCCTACCATGGAATTCCATCGGATTTGACAGAGTCCTAATGTCAGATATCTCAGGATCTTATCGATAAAATTCGTTCGAAATTAAACGATGTTGATAGTTTCTGACAGTCGAATGTTGACCATCGCATATTGTTGGATAGCTCATGGATTCGATAAGATCCAACTAAATGAGTTCGGTATACTTTGCTTTGTAATATGCATCTTGTTGAATCAAATCAAGTTTGAAACATGTCATGCATGAAATTTTTCTATGTTTATAGGATGTAAAATTGTAAAATAGTAGAAATTTTCTGAACTCAACATTGAAAAGTTTTCATAAGTCTTATATTTAATATTGATGAATCCATTTTGCAACGTGCTTTAAATTGGTATCAACTTTTTTTTATATTGAATCTGTTTAAAATAATAGCATTATCTTCTTGGAAAAACATTTTTACGTACCCTATATATGTTTCACTCTTGATTGTGACAACATGGGAAAAAGTGTAAGTCATTGACCTGTAAAATCATTCAAGATAACTTTCGTACAAACTAACCATTATTTTCTCTCATATATGAATATCAACAAGACTGTGCCAAGAGATACACCGATGTTACATGCTATCACCAGTATGTAACATTATCCCTGAGTTATTTTACTCTTACTTCATATCATCCTCGTATGAAGTTAACCTTGTATCTTTACGTCATACTGTTCATAGTGTTCAATACTCTTTCAATACCTTTGTAAGCGCTGCGCTATTCATTACGTATATACTCATTGTTCTCTTTTCACTCCGAGAGATTATTGCATCAAACAGATGCAAGGATAAATCGTTGAGAAGAAGAGAGAAGAGAAGAGAACGATCGAGAATAGTCTCAAAGGATACTGTACAGCGTGGAGGATACAACTCTCTCATTGATATACATCCTTCTTAGATGGTATATATTTGTTGGTGTACAAGTGATAAAAGAGAGATATATTGTGGAGCAGATATAGTGTGTGTGTTAATATCAAGAGAGAAATAAAATCATATACAACAAGTAACGGAATTGAGGTTGAAGAAACAATAAACGAAGCAAGGCCGTAAATACGTGATTCAACTACGCGGTCACTCATCTTTCTTCATCGTATCCTTCACCATATCATTATTATTATTCCTATTATTCACCTTATGATCAATTTTCCGTTACAAAGACATCTCAATGTATACCATAAAGATTGTTATTCCACATATGAATGCTCTCAAGCGAACTAACATTCGATCTTTTCGAATAATTTCAATACGAAAGAAATTCTACAATTCTTATAAATAATCTTTCTTTTCACTCATCACTTCGTAACATATGATGCAAAAGTAATGGTACAAAATGTTAACCCCTATTTCACTTCGATAGAAAGATACTGAAAGAAATTTTTTTTAACCAAAAGATAGAGCTTTTTCTCCTCTTTCGAATCGTGTATAACTTATTTTTATAACACGTATGTAAACGAAACGCCATAATAAAAGAGAGAGACACCCTCAAAATAAATCCGCACTTTTCGTATAGTTTAGAAAAACATCACAAAGTGTTGATTCCTTTATCTTTTGGATAAGTCTTTAATAAATACGTTTTGAAAAGAAAATTTTGATACCAGCTGATAGGAAATTTTCTCCTCTTTCGAACAGTGTATGATTTATATTTGTCACACATTGGTAAATAAAAATTAGACGAAGAAGAAAGGGGAAAGAATCCTGCAAAAATTTGCAATTCTTATATTACCTAGGCAAAAAACATCTTGTCAGAAAGAAATTAATTTGATTTTCGTGTGCTCATTAAAAAGTTCTTGTGAAACAGTGGTTACTTTGACTTTTATGAACTCGCTAAAAACAGTTTGTGAAACGACAACTAATAATGCTTAACTGTCATCTACTGATGTTTTTGACTAATTCGTATAAAAATTGCAAACTTATTTGAGGAGCCTTTCTCTTTCTTCTTCGTCTAATTTTTATTTACGAATGTGTGACAAATATAAATCATACACTGTTCGAAAGACGAGAAAATTTCCTATCAGCTGATAATAAAATTTTCTTTTTACAACGTATTTATGGAAGAGATATGAGAGTCGACATTTTGTATCGTTCTTTTATAAAAAAAAAAAGTGCGGATTTGTTTTGAGAGTGTCACTCTTTTTTATTATGGCGTTT